TCTGGGCTCAGGGCAGACCCAGCAGGCTCCAGGCCCAGCTCCAGCCGTGCTGTTGCAGGGGATGGGGTGGAGTTCCTGTCCTGGTTCCTGAACGCGCTGCACGCTGCGCTGGGCGGCACCAAGAGGAAGAAGAAGAGTGAGTGGGGGGAGTTCAGGGGGGCCCTGGGGGGCTGCTGTGCCCCCTCTGAGCCCCCTCTGAGCCCCCCTTGTCCCCACAGCCATCGTCACCGACGTGTTCCAGGGCTCCATGCGCATCTTCACCAAGAAGCTGCCGCACCCTGACCTGGTGGGACCTGGGGGGAATGGGGGGTCTGGGGGTGCAGTGGGAATGGCAGGGTCAGAAGATGGGGTGTCAGGGTCAGATGGGGGGTGATGGGGGCAGTGTGGGAGTGGTGGGATTCTAACACGGGTCTGGGTCAAATGAGGAGTGTGATGGGGTTAAATGAGGGATGGGGCAGGGGTGTGTTGGGGTATGGTGGGGGTCTTTGGGTACAACAGAGGGGTTTTAGGGTCCAGTGGGGGTCGAAAATACAAATGAGTGGTGGGAAAGTCCAGTGGGGTGATGGCTCCAAGTGGGGCTGATGGATCCAGGGGCAGTTTTGGGTCCAGTGAGGGGTGATGGATCCGGTTGGGGTGTGCTGGATCCAGCAGGGCTGATGGGTCCAGCGGGGATGTGGGGTCCATGGGGCTGACGTGCCCCTCTGGGCTGCCCTGTGCCCCCAGCCCGCCGAGGAGAAGGCGCAGCTGCTGCAGAACAGCGAGTACCAGGAGCGCATGGTGGAGTCCACGTTCCTGTACCTGACCCTGGACCTGCCCACGGCGCCGCTCTACAAGGACGAGAAGGAGCAGCTGATCATCCCCCAGGTGCCCCTGTTCAGCATCCTGGCCAAGTTCAATGGCAGCACTGAGAAGGAGTACAAGACCTACAAGGAGAACTTCCTGAAGCGCTTCCAGCTGACGCGCCTGCCGCCCTACCTCATCTTCTGCATCAAGCGCTTCACCAAGAACAACTTCTTCGTGGAGAAGAACCCCACCATCGTCAACTTCCCCATCACGTGAGCCCGGGGCAGGGGGCTGGGGGCTGCTGGGGAGGGTTAAAAGGGTCCAACAGGAGACTGGGGGTATCTGGGGGGTTTGAAGGTGTCTGGAGGGGGTTTTAAATGCCTGTGAGGTGCTGGAAACATCTGGAGGGGCTTGGGGAGCACCTGGGCCGGGGGAGCAGAAGTGTGCAGGGATTTGGAGGTGTCCAGGGTGGTATGTGGGCATCTGGGGGGGCTTTGTGGGCTTCCAGTGGTTTTTAGGCATCAGAAAGGGTTTGAAGGCACCTGGGGGCGTTTCTGCACACCTGGGGGTGTCGGGCAGGTTGGGAGGGGGATGTGGATGTTGAGGGCTGTGGTGGGGATCTGGGGGGGATCTGGGGGCTGCAGCAGCCCAGCAGGGACTGCACACCCATGGGTGCTGAGGGCGCTGTGGGTGCCCAGGAACGTNACACTGCGGTGTCTGGTACCGGGCTCACCAGGGTCACTGGTCCCGAGCTCAGCTCTGGGCAGGGTTTGAGGGGACTGGGGGGAACTGGAGCTCAGCCCCAGGGAAGTGTCACAGAGAGGGGTTTGGGGGGATCATCCTCGTGTTTTCGGGGTCCTGTGCCCCCCTTTTCACGCCCTCCCGCCCTCCCCAGTGCGTTACGGGCGCTTCGACCCCGAGGACCAGCGCAGCCGGCACTGCCCCTACCTGGACACCATCAACAAGTGGGTGCCGGGGCTGCTTTGGGGTGTCCCCAGCAGCCCCCCAGCCCCCTGACAGCGCTGTCCCCCCAGGAGCGTGCTGGACTTCGACTTTGAGAAGCTCTGCTCCATCTCCCTGTCCCACATCAACGTCTACGCCTGCCTCGTCTGCGGGAAGTACTTCCAGGGTGAGAGTCCTCTCTGGGGCTGCTGGGGACAGCCTGGGGACGGCAGGGACAATGGGGACACCACTGGGGACAGCCCGGTGCCCTCCCTGGTGCCCGGTGCCATGGCAGTGCCCGTGTCCCCGCAGGCCGCGGGCTGAAGTCTCACGCCTACATCCACAGCGTGCAGCTGAGCCACCACGTGTTCCTCAACCTGCACACGCTCAAGTTCTACTGCCTGCCCGACAACTACGAGATCATCGACTCCTCCCTCGAGGACATCACGGTGCGGGCACGGGGGGCACCCCGAGGTGGGGGGTTTGGCTTGGGGTTCCCATTTCTGAGGGCTCTGTCCCCCCACAGTACGTGCTGAAGCCCACGTTCACAGCCCAGCACATCGCCCACCTGGACAAGCAGGCCAAGCTGTCGCGGGCCTACGATGGCACCACGTACCTGCCTGGCATCGTGGGGCTCAACAACATCAAGGCCAACGACTACGCCAACGCCGTGCTCCAGGTGACAGCCAGCAGGGTTACAGACAGGCTCCCCAAACCCCTCTGTGGGGCTGGCTCCTTTCCATCGCCAGAGTATTTGAGATTCCCCGCTCACAGCAGCTCAGGGTCTGCCCCAAACCCCCCCAGCTCCCCTCCCATGGGAGTCCCAGGGCTGAAGCCCCCCTGCTCCGCCCCCAGGCCCTGTCCAACGTGCCTCCCCTGAGGAATTACTTCCTGGAGGAGGAGAACTACCGGCGCATCCAGCGCCCGCCCGGGGACATCATGTTCCTGCTGGTGCAGCGCTTCGGGGAGCTCATGAGGAAGCTCTGGAACCCGCGCAACTTCAAGGCCCACGTGTCCCCCCACGAGATGCTGCAGGCCGTGGTGCTCTGCAGCAAGAAGAACTTCCAGATCACCAAGCAGGGTGAGGGTGGGCTCCTGGGGGAGTGCAGGGCTGGGGGCAGTGCTGGGTGTGAGGGGAGGAGCTGGATCTTGGGGCCTTTGAATTTGGGGTGCAGGGCTGGGTCTGGGGTCTCGGTTCAGGGTACAGGGCTGGGTCTGGGGTCTTGGTACAGGGCTGGGTTGGGGTGCAGGGCTGGCTCTGGGGGCTCTGGGCTCAGGGCAGACCCAGCAGGCTCCAGGC